ATTATTTTACATTCCTTCAGTCCTTCATTAAGGATTAGTTCAATCCTTCATTCAACTAATTCTGGAGGCTATTGCTGAGCCCCACATGTACCGGAGGCTGCCAGACATGGGACATTGTGAGGAATTGAGACAACCCACAGTGAGCCGTGAGGAGGTGGTTGTAAATTAACTATCACTTTACATGTATTGTGTGCACTGATACACAAGGTTCACGCAGAGACTGGGAGCTTCAAGGAAGGCCTTCAGATCAATGTGACTTAGACTGAATTTTGGAAGACGAACAAGACTTAGCCAGGTAAAGAGGAGAGGATATTCTTGCAGAGGGAGCAGCATGGGCAAGGAACGTGCAAAGGTTTAACAACTGCTTGCGGTTCAGTGTGGTGGTCACAGGTATGAATCAGGGAGCAGAGAGGGGATTGAAGGGGACAGGACCAGGTCTGGGGCAGGGGAATGGCTTTAGAGGGTTGCAGAGAACCCCTGCTCACCCTGTTCTCCAGGAGCCCGAGACCTGTGAGGCATACTGACTCCCCAAGGCCCAGTCAGAGCCTACCCGATGCTCCGCATGTTAGGACCTGCCCAGCTCCTGGCCGACCTCTTCCCTACTCCCCCAGAAAGATATTTCCCTTTTGTGCCCTGTGGCCAATAGAGCTCTGAGGACAGTGGCACAAAAAACTAAGTGGTTTGAGCAAGGTTTCTCGGTCAGGGGCTAGCTAGAGGCTATAAGATCAGGGACGTTGGGGGAGGGCCCTTTGTTAATAGGCAGGAAAGGCCCCTTAGTTGGGGCACCTTGGAGAAAAGAGACCATGGTGAGAGTGTGGAGGGTGTCATGTCTCTGATCATCAGATGCTGGGGTCTGCTGAGACCTTCCCATTGGCTATGCAGGAGTCAAGACCAGGGCAAGAGCTGAGACTAGCTCAATATTGAAGGATGGTCAGAATGACCTTCCAAGTACTCAGTAGATGCAGGATCCTGATCATCGTCCATGGCGACGAGGTGATGGAGGTGGAGAGTCAGCGTGGTCATGGGGACTCGACTATAGGTCAGAAGGAAATATGATACAAGCTCATTTTCATCAGCTCCAGGCGGCACCTTCTACATTCCTCCTTATTCTATGTACCATTAAACCCAAAGTGGTGTCACATCACCCATTACCACCACCACCAGTTTTAGCACAGTCGTCACCTCTATCTCCCTTACCCACCTCTAACTCTACCACCCACCATTCCCGGCATTCATCACTCAAATCACACATACCCTTCTCTCAACGAGGCTCCATCACTGTCACCATTGCCACCACCATCTCCGTCATCTATCACCACTGCCACCGTCAGTATCATCTATAAAATCCTCGTCACCATCACTGCCCACGTAACCACATCATTATTACCACTATCCCGAGCCCCATGCCCCTCATTCTCACTCCAAGCACTCCCATCACTATTAATTTCTACCATCAGTATTCCCACCTCCATCTCTACTATACCATCCTACCATCATACTTACCACGACAATTGATTCCATCATTACCACCATCGCCAATGTGGGAAATGATTACATGGGTTATAGTGATGGTTAACAATCGGTGAAACCCCAGCTAAGGTGAGGAGGTCAGCTGAGGCCACCCAGTGCAGAGAGGGGTAAAACAATAAGAAGTCCTAAAGTTTAGGAAGTCCCTATTGCAAAACAATCCCAAATCGGAAATTGTTTATATTAGGAACTTATTCTTCCCCAAATCCTCCAACAGTTCTAGTAATAATTTCAACTAAGGAGTTGTTATTTTTCCAGTGCACAAGGCTCCTTTCCACCTGGTCCTGTATAAATGAAGGTCTCCTCAGTCTGGGCCTCTCAGCCCAGGTTTGAATTTCCAGGGTGGAGGAGGATGGGGATAGTTAAAAATTTAATTAAAAACAGTTCTTAACTGGTGGTCCAGAGCTTATCTACCCTCTGGTTAGACTCTTGGCATTTCATACCTTGCCTGTCCAGCTCCATCATCTGCCTCCACATACATATCATGGTCGTTGTCACCACCACTCCTGATGGCCTCAGAGAGCAGAGCTGCCGCAGGGGCTGAAGGCAGGGGATAAGGTGAAGCCAGGGGTATAGTTACTGCCAAATTACTCTCTGTAGAAAGGGGCTGCAGATGTAGATCTGCGTTTCACGGGCACTGAAGCAAAGAGGGAGAGGTGACCACTGTATGACTATCAGCTATTTCTCACGTTAAGGCAGGAGAGAGATCCCCATTGTGAAGACACAGGCATCACAGCCGATGCCCAGGCCTGGCCTCACTGGCTGTTTTCTCCAGCTGTGGATAAACCTCAGAGTATTCCCCTGCGGAGCCCCGGGATGGACCACAGAAATGACGATGGCTGCAAAACTTACCTCTCAGGAGCTGGAAGTGTTACAGTGTTTTATATTTTTATATAAATAATATGATTATATAGTATCAAATGAGGGAGGCATCAACAGCATGGGAATCACGTGTGAGTGAGAGTCAATGGGTAGGAGTTGTCTCACCCTTCAGCTGGTCTCCAAGGTGTCTTGGGCATCTACCAGGTGAATAAGAGAGAGGTGAGTGCTGGTCAAGGGCCTGCCCCAAGGTGTGAGGTGCCAACAGGCTGGTGTGTTTGGGGAACTGGAGGGAAGGAGGTATGGTGGGGGGGGGTCCAGAATCAGGGTGGAGAGGAGCCAGTCTTGGGCTAGGGAGTTAGACTTTTACCCTCCAGCAGTGGGAGCTGGTGAAGGGTTTTATTTATTTATTTATTCATTCATTCATTCGTTTATTTAAAATGATTCTTTTTAAAAATATTTTATTTATTTATTTTTAGAGAATGGGGAAGGGAGGGAGAAAGAGAGGGAGAGAAACATCATCGATCGGTTGCCTCTCACATGCCTGCAACTGGGGACTTGGCCTGCAACCCAGGCATGTGCCCTGCATAGGAAGAGAACCTGTGACCTTCCAGGTCATAGGCCAGCGTTCAATCCACTGAGCCACACCAGCCAGGGCTAAAAATTATTTTTAAAATCTGTTTATTGATTTTAGAGATAGAGGGAGGAGGAGAGAGAGAGAGAGAGAGAGAGAGAGAAATATCAATGTGAGGGAGAAACATTGGTTGCCTCCCATGTGCACCCTGACTAGGAAGAGGATCGAACTCGCAATCTAGGCATGTGCCCTGACTGTGGATTGAAACAGTGACCTTTTCGTATGTGGGACAACGCTCCAACCGAGGCAGATGAGCCAGGGCTGTTGAAGGGTTTTAAACAGAGACAGTCCCCTGTCACATTTGTTTTAAAATGTTCATTGTGGTAGGTGCGTGGGGAATGGGTTGAAAGGGATGAGACTCGATGCAATTTCTAAGTCAAAGAGCAAGAATGTCATTGCGATAAGGAAGGTTTATATAACTTGTTTTAACCCTCCAGCTAAGACTGTACGCTCACTGACGGCAGGGATTGTGTCTGAGGCATCGTTGTACCCCACCAAGTGCTTAGGTTGCACTAGAGACTCAACAAATGTCTCTTATCTATTATTACCTCCTATCACCACCTCCAAATCACTGCCCTCACCCCCGTGCCTATTAGCACCACCTTGAACACACTCCATGGCACTGATTTAGCTCTTTTCCCAGAGCTCTTTGAGGGGGGCCCAGCCTAGTGCAGACTGGAACATCTGCAGCTCAGCAGCTGAGGCCAAAGTCCTGGGCCAGAGTCAGGGGTCCCAGTCCTCTCTTCAGTTCTGCTGTTGAGTCACTAGGTGACCCCAGCAAACCATACACTCCATTTCTTTATCTGTTCAAAATGGGGGCTAGATTAAATTAGTCATTTTCAAACTTTTTAAAAAGCCTGGGCCCCTTTGAAGCTTATTTGTTTAGAAATCTGGAGACCTTGAAACACAATTTGACAACCTCCCAGCTCTGGCAACCTGGTGTTTGGAATATCAGATTTTAAAAAAACTTGACATTGCTGGTTTCTGCTGTGGCAGAGGCCATGAGTGAGAATTGAACGGGGAATATCAGAAAAATTCAGTCTTAGGCACTGCAGGTCCTATAGAAGGACCTTGGCAAACCTTCTCCTTCCCTACGCACCTCCTCAGGAGCAATTTCGGAAGCCCCTAAAAATAGGGGTAGAGGCAGGCAGGAGGGCCTGTGTGTATGGGAAGAGCCCTTGAGTGAAGAAGTGGGAGGGTGATGGGTCTGGAATCCCCAGATTGGCCAGGCTGCCCACTGTAGTTCCAGGTGTGTCTCAGGCCAGGGCATAAGCTCCAGGTGGGGACATAAATCCCACAGGGTACAGCCCTGGCTGGTGTGGCTCAGTGGACTGAGTGTCAACCTGAAAACTGAAAGGTCACCGGTTTGATTCCCAGTCAGGGCACATGCCTAGGTTGTGGTCCCCAGTTGGGGACATGTGAGAGGCAACCAGTTGATGTTTCTCTCACACAACTGATGTTTCTCTCACCCTCTTTCTCACTTTGAAATAAATAAATAACAGGGTGAGTGGCTGGCTCAGCAATAAGAACCCTTCACCAGATTTTGAATCCTGGGCTGCCAGCCAGGCCATGTGGGTTTCATAGGACAAAGGGCATCCAAGGAGAGCGGACACCATGTCCGGGAGATGCTTCCTCTTAGGAACCTTGGAGCTTTGCTGATCAAAGGGTAAGGTGGTTGTCTCCTACACACCTAGCTAGCCATTATAGCAGCCTGAGGCTACCCGACTTGGACCCTGAGCACCAATATGTAAGTCCCAGGACCCTGGAGCCATCCTCTCTGAATGGATGGCGGCCCCTTCCTCATAGGCACTGGGCTACACAGGCAGGGATCCCTGGAGACCTGGGTGGCCAGGGAAGGCCCAGTTTTGGGCCGGCCCCTGAGGGCTGGAATGTGGCTGCAGGCTCTCTGCCTACCAGTTTGTTTGCTCCCGCCTCCAGAGTCCAAGGGTCCAAGTGTTGGGTGAGCTAAGCTGATACTATAGAAGGAGCCCGTTTTGGGGAGAGTTAGTAGGTGGGTGGCATGGGATTCGAGGAGCTGCTAGACCAGGTGGGAGGCTTTGGGCCCTTCCAACTTCGGAATATGGCCCTGCTGGCCCTGCCTCGCATACTGATGCCCATGCACTTCCTCCTACCCGTCTTCCTGGCTGCTGTGCCTGCCCATCGTTGTGCCCTGCCTGACACCCCTGTCAACTTCAGCCACCAGGACACATGGTTGGAAGCCTACCTCCCCCGGGAGCCCAATGGCAGGCTCAGCTCCTGCCTCCGCTTCACCTACCCCCAGGCCCTCCCCAACACTACATTATGGGAAGAAGGGCAGAGTCTCAAGGAGCTGCAGGCTGAGGCCTCCACAGAGCCGTGCCCTCAGGGCTGGGAGTACGACCACTCAGAGTTCTCCTCCACCATTGCAACCGAGGTACCCAAGCCAGGAGGCGGGGGGACACGTGAGTGGGATGGGTCTGCCATTGCCTTGGGTGATTACTATGTGGGCATTAGGTACATTATTTTACTTCCTAGAGTCTCAGTTTACCCATCTGTAGGTAAGGTTTATGAATTTAAAGCACAGGGCTTGTAGTAAGGAACCTGCACAGGGGAGCTGGTATTATTATTGGGAAGCGATTAAGGCAGGGAAGGGCGAAGGTGGCTCCAGGGAATGGGGCCGAGCGTTGAGAAGGGTGTGTCTGCAGTAAGAGATGGAGAAACAATAGAGGCCTCCTTCTCTCCCTTCCTCTTTTGGACCCCAGGTCTGGGATTTACATAATCCATCTGGAGTTCTGTGCAGGTCGGGGCAGAATCTCTCTGAGGAAGAGCAGGACCCATTTTGTCATGGTCAAGGCCCTCCATGGGAAGAAGCTGTAGTTGCAGGATTGGGGAGAGGCGAAGTCTCCCACTCCCCAAGCTGAGGTGAACAGTTGGGGTTTTGTTATCTGACATGGAGGTACCAGGATGGCGCAGTTGACCCCAGAAGGCCCCAGGGTCTGGAGAGGGGGTTAGTACCAATTGGAGAGGGGCCCATTCCCATGGGAGACCCCTCCTTGCCTGACCCTGCAGTGGGACCTGGTGTGTGAGCAGAAAGGCCTGAACAGAGCCACTTCCACCTTCTTCTTCGCCGGTGTGCTGGTGGGGGCTGTGGCCTTCGGATACCTGTCTGACAGGTGGGGTAAGGTGGGGTGGACAATAAGGGAGTGGGGTGGAGAACCTTCTCCCACTAGCTGGGGCCTGGGCCTAGTCTACCTGTCTTGGGACCTCCCCTGTACAGGGAGCTAACCCTGCATGACCCCGGTGCAGGTTTGGGCGCCGCCGCCTGCTGCTGGTGGCCTATGTGAGTTCCCTGGTGATGGGCGTGGCCTCTGCAGCCTCTGTCAGCTACATCATGTTTGCAATCATCCGCACCCTCACTGGCGCAGCCCTGGCTGGCTTCACCATCATCGTGATGCCACTGGGTGAGGCAGGCAAAGAACGGGCAGGGCCTAAAGGGATGGAGGGAGACAGTTGTCAAGGGTGAGACTAAGCCTATCTGTCCCTTGCTAACTGTCTTCCTGTCTCCGGCTGTGCGCCCAGAGCTGGAGTGGCTGGACGTGGAACACCGCACTGTGGCAGGTGTCCTGAGCAGCACCTTCTGGTCAGGGGGCATGATGCTGCTCGCTCTGGTTGGGTACCTGATACGGGACTGGCGATGGCTTCTGCTGGCTGTCACGCTGCCTTGTGTCCCAGGCATCCTCAGCCTCTGGTGAGGCCTTTGGGCAGCTGGGGAGTGGGAAATACAGGAGGCCAGAGACAGAATTAATCAGAGACTGAGATTCAGAGACAAAGATACAGAGACAAAGAGAATGAGAAACAGTCAGTGATGAAGAGACAGAGACAGAGACCAATACATGAGATGCAGAGAAACACAGAACAAAATATAGAGAGAGACAGACAGAGAAACAGAGAGACAGAGACAGAACCAGTGCGAGGTAGTGACAGACAGCAGGACTGAAAGCTTCAGAGGGACAGATGGAGATGGACACATGAGAGACAGAGCCAAGCACAAACTGAGGCTGGTGCCCTGGAGGGGTGGGGATAAGGACAAGATCAGCACAGAGGTAGGAAGTTGTAGTAGGAGGGTGAAAGTCCAGGCAGGGTGGGCATTTCATTACCTTCTCCAAGTAAACTGGCTTTGGATGATCCCTCTGGGTATGTCTGTATGTCTGTCTCTCCGTCCTATGCTCTCCTGTCACCTGTGGGAAAAGTGGGTGACTCTTCCTGGGGGCTGAGGTTTTGGGGGTGAGACCAATTCAGTTGAGTAGAGAAGGGACTCCCATACTATGGAGAACCTAGTCCTGAGCAAAGAAGTGTGGGAAAAGGTAGTTTTTTAAATTTGGCCTTAAACAACGAATAAAAATTCATCAGGTAAGGAGGGTTGGGAAGATGTTCCAGGCTGAGGGGACAGCCTGTGGCGTGCCCAGGAGGGAGGCATGTCTTAGGGTGCTGACTGACCGAAGAGCCTCCCACTGTCCCCCAGGTGGGTGCCAGAGTCTGCACGCTGGCTCCTGACCCAGGGCCGCTTGGAGGAGGCCCACAGGTACCTGCTCTGCTGTGCCAAGCTCAATGGGCGGCCTGTGGGTAAGGATGGCCTGAGCCTGGAGGTAAGGGTGAATGTGTGTGTGAGTGCATGCAAGTACATGTGTGTGCACGGCCTGTGTCAAGCATCCCCTCCCCGGGGCCCACTGTGTGTACAGGAAAAGCTCCCGGCTTGAGTGTAGGTTCTCCTGCGATGTCCTCTGGTGGGCCAGACCCTTGACTTTGCTTCCTTTACTCAGCTCCCATGTGCATTGCTCCCTTCCAATGCAGAAGGGAAGAATAGAGACCCTGAGAGAACAATGCGCCTTGCCAAGGCCACAGTCAACTCCATGTCACAAACTCTCCTCCTCCCACACCAGGAGCTGAGCAAAGTGGCAGCTGCAGAGCGGGTGGTCCGAAGACCTTCATACCTTGACCTGTTCCGAACACCACGGCTCCGACACATCTCACTGTGCTGTATGGTGGTGTGGTGAGGAGGGTGCTGGCCTGGGCCTGGCAGGGTGGGGGTGAGTGGAGGGCGGGGCCGGCATCAGGATGATGCTGAGTGTGACAGGAAACTGGACAAGTGAACTGTAACTGTGGAGGGCAGGGGTGGGCGTAGTAGGTGGAGGGGTGGAGGGGATGGGGCTCTGGAAGGTCAGGAGATGGAGCAGGCATCAGACACGTGGGTTCAAATTCAGGCTCTGCCACTTCTTTATTGTGAGACCTTGGACAGTTGTCCCTTCTGTAAAATGGATGCTTTAGTTGTTACCTCACAGGGTTGCTGTGAAGATTAGGCAAACGTGCTCTGGTCACTAGGCGGTGGTTGCAGTCCCTCTAAAAAGTCAAGGTTCCCTGAGAGGACAAGGTGGGTGGGAAAGAGGCCTCTGAGTGGCATCGCGACCCCGACCCCTCTCAGGTTTGCAGTGAACTTCTCCTATTACGGCCTGAGCCTGGACTTGTCGGGGCTGGGGGTGAACGTGTACCTGACGCAGCTGCTGTTCGGGATCGTGGAGCTGCCCTTCAAACTGCTGGTCTACTTGTTTGTGCGCTACGTAGGACGCCGTCTCACAGTCGCAGGAGCGCTGCTGGGCACCGCCCTCACCTTGGGCGCCAGGTTGCTGCTGTCCTCGGGTAGGCCTGGCACCGGGGCCCCGCCCATTCCCGTGGCCCCGCCCCCTGGCCAAGAAACCCCGCCCTATCCCGAAGCCCTGACTTAAGACCAGTTAAGTTCCGACCTCTCTCTGGAGACTTCACTTATCATCCTGGGAGCCTTACTGTCTGAACCTCTTTCCCTTCAGAGATGGTGTCCTGGCGCACCGCCCTGGCGGTGCTAGGGAAAGGTTTTTCTGAAGCTGCCTTCACCACTGTCTACCTTTTTACCTCGGAGTTGTACCCTACTGTGCTCAGGTAAGGGAACCGTGAGTCCCAAGCAAGCCTGAGGAATTTGTCGGTCTCATCTTTTACCAGCACCCCCACATACACACGACACACTGTACCCCAATCCCTCTCACCCATTCCTTGCACTGCATTCGGAATACAGTTAATCACCACAGCCTCTGTTTGCCTCAATCTGGGAGAAGGCGGGGACATTTTATTTTCTTTACTAAGTGACCCTGAGCGAGGTCAGAAAACTTCCTTTAAAATAGCGGCAAAAAGCCCTATCTGCCCATCCCATCCCCAACAGCCTGGGAGTTGTCACCAGACATAAGGCCTGGGGCCCTTTCAACTAGCTACTGGCAGGTGAAGAGGAGAGTTGTAGGCAGCTGGGTATGATTAGAAAGCCTTGCACCTTCTCTAACAACATGGCAGAGTCTGTATGAGCCCTTGACCCTCTTCCCCATCCCCTTTCTGGTGATGTTTCTTTTCTTTCAGTGATACCTGACTGGTATACTGTTAGAGTGGTCCTCAAACTCTGGTGGGTGTTGGCTTGGGGGCTCCTGGCCAGGGGGTAGGTGGGAAGACCACCGGAAAGAAACCCCAGCTTTCTTAGCTGTCTCGGGGGGAGGTAAGGGAGTACCAAAGGGTACTGCCCTGCCAGCCCTGGGCAGCGAGCCCCATGAGGCATTACCCCAAGTAGCTGTGAGTACAAACCCCCTCCCCCATCCTTTCTCTGAACAGACAGACAGGGATGGGGCTGACTGCACTGGTGGGCCGGCTGGGGGGCTCTTTGGCCCCACTGGCAGCCTTGCTGGATGGAGTATGGGTGTCACTGCCCAAGCTCACTTATGGGGGGATTGCCCTGCTGGCTGCCTGCACTGCCCTCCTGCTGCCAGAGACAAGGAAGGCACAGCTGCCAGAGACCATCCAGGACGTGGAGAGGAAGAGGTGTGTGCACATGCATGTGGGTATGGGTGCTCAGGTACCTGACACCTTAGGTGGGACTCAGAGGAAGAGATGTCTGCATGTGTGTATCTGGTACATGTATGCAAGTGTGCACAGGTGAATGACCTGAAGTACATCAACTATGGGTATAAAAGCAAACAAGTCCATGTGTGGGAGTCACTTGTGGGAGTAAACATGTTTATATACCAGGAATTGGGGAAGCCCTAGGCCAGCACCAATGGGGCAGGCTGGGGTGGCAGGCTCAGGGGCTAAACCCCACCATTGCTCATGATTCATTCCTCCCCAGGGCCCCATCCGGCCTTCAGGAGGAACAGATGCCCATGAAGCAGGTCCACGACTGAGTGGTTTAAGGAGCAGGCCTTCCACAAAAGTTCTGCATCAGGGGCTGGGAGAGCAAAAGGGAAGACCCTGTGGTCAGAGCTGGGGGCATAGAGCTCTCTGCTCAAGACTGGATTTGCTTTCTGTGCCCCTCTCTGTTCTCATCCATCTTCTAGCAATAGAGCAACTTCCCAGAATGCAGTGGGCTGCCGGAGAATTCTGGCACTCCTCTCATAGCTGGGGGATTCTGTGCTTCTGGGTTGAGGCAGCAGTATGGAGCTGCAGGACAAGCCCTGGATGGGAAGCAACTGAATCTGGTGCTAGCTTCTGATCTCAGCTTGGCCACTGATTTGCTGTGTGACTTTGGGCATGTGGCTTTCCCTTTTTGGGCCTCAGTCTGTTCATCTGTCAAATGGATAATGAAGCTTCTTAAACAGACCTCACCACAGGATCTATCTGTTGTCATGCTCAATGAGATGCTCAATATGGTGCTTCTTCTAGAGATGGTGCTGAAGGAGGGACTGTCCTATGATGACCTCTGGTACCAACAGGGCTGTGGGCACCACTGTGTGGTGCTGAGGGCTAGGGGACCTGGAGAACAGAGCTCTTTGCTCCACAGCTGGCACTTTGCAGGGTAATGCATCCCCTACCCCCCACACTCTCCACCCTCCAACCCACTGTCCAGACCTCATGCCCAAAGAAGAGTTGAAGGAATGGGAGCCAACATTTTATTGGAGAAGCCAGGATAAAGACAAGTCTTATGAATACCTTGAAGTTATATAATGTGCTGGGGAAAGACATTGGGAAGGCCAGGAAGCCACCGTTCAGAATGGGGTGGCCCAATTCCCCTGAGCAGATAGGAATGGGAAAGGGATGACTTGGCAGAGTGTCTAGACTTTCTGGTCTACCATGGAGCTGAGGCCCAGGCTGCCAGAATCCCACCTTCCCCTACCTCCATGGGACTGAAGGATTCTGTAGCTCCCACTGGAGCATGGAGGGGATGTCCGGAGGCCCAAGTTAGGGTGACCTCTCCTGTGAGCATCTTATTTCGATTTTATCTCCACGGGGTCATAGATGTAGCAGCCCACATCACCAATGTTCACGCCTGAAGGAGAGAGCCCCATCACCAAGGGCCTTGGGGACGGGGGTTACTGGGCTGAGGGCTAGAGGGAACTGGGAAGGATCTGGGATATGTCTGACTACAGGGGAAGTTGTCCACACATCCCCACAGACCCACATGCCATACTTTAGGCCCAGCGTCTAGGGTGGAGCTGCCCACCTTTGGGGCCAAACAGGTAGCCGTAGCAGGGGATGTGGCAGTAGGGGACGCCGTCATGCTGGGACACAGAGAGAAAGAGAGCCCTCTCAGCTTGGCTCTTTTCCTATCTCCAGCCTTTCTCCTCCCAACATAACCACCCATCCCTTTCTTGCTCACCTCAGCATGACTCCCAGCAGTCAGGGTCTTCCGGCAGCGCTGGCACCTCAGACAGGGTCGGTGCCAATTTCTTCCCAAAGACATCACCTTCTCAGCTGGTGGTAGAGAGAGGTAGTAGCCCTACGGGCAGGGCAGGGAGACCCACCTGCCTCACACCACCTCCCTGCCCTCTGATGCCCACCTTGCACTCACTCCCCTCTCCACTTTCCCTTGTCACTTACCAAAATAGACAGGTTCTTCACAGCCAGGGCACAGTGAGGTCTCCCCAGTGAATGTCTTCATGTGCAAAGGGCCTTTAAGGAGAAGAGGCCCTGGCTAGGGCTGAGGTGGGGGCCAGGTCTAAGTAGGGCCCTCTAGTGCCAGCCTGCATATGGCACTGTTTTCTTCCAAAAGCCATACTTACCCCAGAGCCTCCCACCTGGATGGACATAAGTATGCCTTCCTCAGACAGAGCTGAGTCCCCTCTGACCCAACGTCCTGTCCTACCCCTATCTGCAAGAGCGACCACTTGCTTCCTTCTCATCCTCCCAGGGGCTCACATGCCCACCAGCCCAACCCAGTTAGCAACTCAATCCTCAGGAAACCTGAACTGATACAGGAGCTGGCCAGGGCAGGGGTGTCAGGTGTTGGGGAGCACAGTGTCATTGCCCACTGCAGAGGACAGAAGAAAGGAACACGGAAGAGGGGGGAGGTAGAAGGATGTGAGGGGCTGGCCCTGTCTCAGTGACTCCTCACTCATAAGTCTCTCCTTCCATGGCCATGGCCTGGGAGAGGCCTGAGTTCCAGGCCAACTTTGCCTCTGACTAGCTGTGACTACAAAAGGTCACTTGCCCTCTCTCGCCCTCAGTTTCCTCACCTGTAAAATGGGGGTGGTAATGCCCATCTGCCCACTTTACCTCTGAACTCAGCAGCTGACATGAGGGAACATAGAAAAAGGGGTTGCAGATAAAGGAAGATTTTGACATCCACGAACAAAGTTGTAGGAATGAGGCAGAGGACTATGTGAGAGACTGCCACCTGGTCCCACCCTGTTCCAGCCTGGGAAGGCTTAGGAGGAAAGGTAGCTGGGGTCCAGCCTCACTTACTTTTCTTGCCCTGAGGAAGGCCAGTCCTGGGCCTTGGGGGGCTGAAGCTGCTGGGGCTGAGGGGAGTGGTATTGGCAGGGGTGGGAATGGGGGAGTTGTAGAGGTAGGAGCCCACACCACCAATGTTCACCCCTGTAGAAAGAAGAAGGGAGGTCAGGCTTGAGTCTCCAGTTCTCCTTCCATGGGGAGGGTTTTTGCTGCCCTCTGCCTCCTTTCTGGCTGGTACTTACCCCTGGGTCCAAAGAGAGCCCCATAGCATGGTTTGTGGCAATACGGCCTCCCATTGTGCTAGGCAAAAGCAGAGGAAAGAGGGTTGCTCAGGGCCAAGGGGGCTTCTCCCGTACTCCACAGGCCTTCCCCCCAAACAGGCTGCCAGGTGCGTCTGTCCCCTGGCCTGGGCTAGTGGGGCTGGGAGGGGTCAGGATGGGCGGGCATGCCAGAATTGCCGCTGTGGTCAGGGGAAAAGGGCAAGAAAACGTCAGGAAGCAGCGTTGCTGCCCTCTCATCCCACTCAAATGGCATGAAGTCCACCAGTGAAACTCAGGGTCCAGAAATCCTGGCTGGTGTGGGGGCCACCCTGCAAGTGGTAGTGGTCTTGGGAGTTAGCTACTGAGGGTGCCTTTCGTGAGCCTCCAGGGCCACAATGGGGCTGGTGCCTGGGACACAGTGACAGACATAGGTCTCACCTCTGCATGCCCTCCGGGGGACAGGACACTGTGGCAGTGCTCACATTTCAGGCAGAAGCGGTGCCAGTTCTTGCCCAGGGAGCTCACCTTCTCTGCTGTGAGGACCAAGGTAGACCCGGGGCTTCAGGGGAGCCAAGCCAAGCAGAGGACGCCCTCCTTTCCCTCCTCAGTCCCACCCTGCTTTCCAGAGACAGCAGGGAGTGTCTCCAGGAGGCCAGCCCCTTCCCGCCAGAGTGCCATGCCCGAGAGGTGGAAGGGGGGTCTGGGATCACACCCTTTGCCAGCTCCTCGTGTCCTCTGGGAACCCAGCTGCTCACACTCGCCCAGACGTCTCCCTCTCCTCAGCCCGGGGCTCACCGAAGAAAACAGGTTGCTGGCAGCGTGGGCAGGTCCAACTCATGGCTCCGCTGAGGGCAGCAGGCTCCGAGGGCAGCAGGCTCCGCACAGTGGGCACCCCGCAGGGACTCTGTTCCGCCCCTTCTGCTGGCTCCACCCATGGCTCGAGCCTCATTGGGCTGAATCCGCTGCTCCTCGAAGCCCATTAGCTGCCAGAAATTTAGCACTGCTCCACCTGCGGGACGCAGGCGACTTCGCAATTATTTTCAAACTAAAGCCTCTGACAGTTGGCAAGGTGAGAGGATTCTGAGGCCAAAAAGGGAGAGGTGGGAGCAATGAAGACACCTGGCTTGGTACCAAGAGGGAAAATGCCTAGAGTGGTACACGCCAGGAAAGCACTCTTATTTCAAAGCCAAAGCGAGGGTTTAGGCATGCTTTAAAGTGAGGCTTTAAAATGGTTTAAATTCCACCTAGGCAGTCTTGCAGATAGTTGAGAGCAACGGAATCTGGAGCCCATATCTGTTACTTTACTCTTTGGCTTCAGGCAAATTGCTTAACCTTTCTCTGCCTCTGTTTGGTACAATGCGTATGATGATAATTCTCTACATCATAGGATTTTTGTGAGAATTAGATAAGTTAATACATGAAGAGTGCCCAAACAGTACCTGGCATATGAATGCTCTAAAAGCAATAGCTATCATCATGAACTCGAGGCCCTTAGTTTGGAAGCCTCAAAATGTGGTCTGCAAACAATAGTTTGCTTGTAAAACCTTAATGCTTATTAAATTTAGTGTATAATACTGACATCAATGACATATTCCTAATTTAGTTTAGGATGTTTTAATATTTATTAAAAATAGCTCAGCAGTGCTTCAAAGGACACTTCAAAAGTTGAAACCCACAGTGGGAAAAAAACATCAGCAGATATGTATCTGATAAGGGTAACCCAAATGTATAAAGGACTGTCACAACTCAATAATAAAAAGACAACCCAACTAGAAAATGAACAAAGAATATGAATAGATACTTTTCCAAAGAAGATATACAAATGGCCAAGAAACACATGAAAAGATGGTAACATCATGAGTCATTAGGGAAATGAAAACCAGAACCATAATGAGATACTATTTTACATCTATTAGAATGACTATTAAAAAAAAGGTAATAACAAGTGTTAGTGAGGATGTGGCAAACTTGGATCCTTCATATACTGTTGATGGGAATGTGCTTGGAAAAGAGTCTGGCAATTCCTCAAAAAATTAAACACAGAGTTACCATATGACCCAGCAACTGCACTCCTAGGTATATATCTAAGAAAAATGAAAGCATTTGTCCACATAAAATCTTGTACATGAATATCCACAGTACCTCTATTCACAATAGCTAAAAGATAGAAACAATCCAACTGACAAAATGTGGTATAACCAGGAGAGAATATCATTCAGCTATAAAAAGGAATGAAGCACTGATACATGCCATTAACATGAACCATAAAAACATTGTTAAGTGAAGGAACCCAGACACATACCACTACACATTTTATGATTCCATTTATGTGAAATGTCTAGAATAAGAAAACCCATGAAAGCAGAGATTAGTGATTGGTTGCTTGGGGTTTGGGGGAGGGGTGATTGGGAATATCTGCTAATGGATATGAGGTCTCTTTACAAGGAGATGAAAATAAACTGGAATTAGATAGTGGTGATAGTTGCACAACCTCATGAATATACTAAAAAAAAAAAATCAATGAATTATACACCTCAAAAGAGTGAACTTTACAGTATGTGAATATGTCACTAATGTCTCGGTATAATATAATGTCTCAGTATAATATAATGTCTCAATAAAAATAATGCGATAATAATAATGCCCTGAAGTGAACTATTTTATTAAAAAAAAAAAAAAAAAGCTAGCCCAGCAAATGAGGGACAGAAGAGTGAGTTGGTTACCTTGTGCTCCAGCAGAGTAGACAACTCCTTGATGAAGTATCATGGTGAAATGAGGATTTTTTTTGGAGTAAGTTCCTCTGTTTTGTGAAGTCAGGGCTGCAGTGCTGTGCCCTGCTGAGTGAAAGGAGTCCTAATTTGTGTCTGGAATCCATCACCCTCTCTGAATTTCAGTCCCCTCAACTGGACAATGGGGATGGAACTGGTGTTTATGAACTTCCACTCAACTTTCTTGTTTCCCTTACTTGTCTTCATCAGTACTTTTTGCTCATAACAATACTTGTTTTATCCCCCTCATTGATTTCTAAACATGCAAGGCTTGCACACTGTGAAAAAACTTTTCTACACTTTCTCATCATTTGTTTCTTGTTTTAAGGAATATTTCAAGGTCCTTACGCTTATAATTTTTCCTTGAAGGGCTTCTTTTTTTGAACAAACTTAAAAAATATAACAGTTTTAGTCTCCACCGATATTTTACTCTTAGGTTTCTGTCTTATTTGTTTCTTCTTGAAGGCAGCAGCTCAAAGTTCACTGCCTTTGCTCTCTATGGTGCTGAAGGAGAAGGTCCCACTCCAGGAGGTTGGGAGGACTTAATTTTTGTATTTATTCTGAGATATGCTGCCTCCTTTAGGAAGGGCTAGCTTCATCTGCCCAAGGATCTACCCTCAGCATTTTGAGTGCACATCAGATGATCCTTTTCTAAGACTTTCTAGCTCTTTCTGCTTTGGATCACATTGTACGCATGCCCCAACCTCCTAGACAGGTCACCTTTACCCTTGTGAGGCCAGAGATAGTCAGGAAGGAGGAAACTCCAGAGTTGCCCCAGGGCTAAGATAAAGAACATGGATAAAGGGTGGAGACCCTGTTCTAAGACTGGTAGTTTTTGCATTCTGGAAAAGCATTGAATCCTAGTGAATCAGGAATGCACCTGTGCAGAAGATGCTACCTGACTCCTGCTTCATTATAATATCATTATAATAAATTAGCATTGTGGGAGACCCACCCTAGAGGAATAAAAGCCCTCTAGTCCCAGAGTTTGGGGCTGCTGCTGTTAGGTTCTGCTCTGCTCTTCTCAGCTCCGCTCTACTCAGACTTGGCCTGCTCCCATGTTCTGTGTGGCTTAATTAATTCTCTTTCTCTCGCTTTCTGCTATAAACCCTGTGTGTTCAGTTCAATTTTTTGTCTGCGATCACCAAGAACCTGGTTACCTGTGCCCACCTGTGACACTAGGATCCAGCACAGGGCCCCACTAGAAGAAACAGGCATTAGAGTGTGAATACCATGCTGCTTTTACACAACTTACAATGTCAGTGGGGCAAATGCTTTACTGCTCTACATAGTCTATACTGTATGGCCATAACAAACATAGTATGCCTCATCTCTTCTATTTCACTGCTTAAGAAAATGTAGTTGTGGCTCCTCCTTTCCAAATAATTGCCATCTATTTGCAGATAGAGCAAATCAAATATTCTACTCTTCTTCCTTGTCTGGTTTCCATTATTCTTACTCTAAAAGAGGCTTTGTAAAGAAAGCTAATAGGGAAAATTAACATTTCTTGTAGGAATGTATTTGCATTTACTGATAGTGGCTGTTTTGAATACTTCGTGTGACTAAAGCCTCTAAAAGGGTATTTTATAACAAATTCCACAAATGGCTAAGTCTAATTGAGTGTAGGTACAGTAGTCCCCTTTATCTGCAGGGGATATAGTCTAAGACCCCCTGGTGGATGCCTGAAACCACAGATAGTAAGTACTGAACCATATATGCCTATATGATAAAGTTTAATTTACAAATTAGACAGAGATTAACAATAACTAATAATAAAATAGAACAATTGTAACAATAGAAGCAAAATAAGGACTTTGAACACAAGCACTGTGATACAGCAACAGTGGTCTGATAACTGAGATGGCTACTAAATGACTAACAGACTGTAGCATATACAGGGTGGACAGGCTGGACAAAGGGTGGGTTTATCTCTCAGGAGGGACGTAGTGGGACTACATGAAATTTCATTATGCTACATTTTAAAACTTAAGAATTGTTTATTTCTGGAATTTTCCATTTAGTATTTCAGACTGCCATGGCTGACTGCAGGTAACTGAAACTGCAGAATGTGAAACTGCGGACAAGGGGTACTACTGTATTACCTACTCAATTGTCAGGGTGCAGTTTGTGTCATCCCTTATAAGAACAGTCTCCTCCTTCATAAAGATGACTGTCCCTTGGTGTCCCCTACCCCCTCCTTTTTCCTGCACAGATCTCTGTCAGAGAATCTGTAATGTTATATTGCATTTATTTGTCTTTCTTCAATTGATAGGATTGACTGACTTATCTGTATATCTACAGCACTAAGTATAGTGTGGATGCCCAGCAAATGACCATTATTATTATTATTATTATTATTAAAATCTCCCTCTATCACTTTTTACTCCATGTTTTTAAGCTCTATTGTTAGGTAGGTGTATATTTTAGGATAGCTGTGTTTTCTTGATTAATTGTCCCCTTTATTGTTGTTGTTAGGCAGGAAAAAAAGCTTTACAACTCTAGGTGAGTGGTGGTAAATATAATTACTTCAAATACCTGGAGGGTTATCACATAGAAGAGACATTAGAGGCACTAGCAAGACCCCTGGCTAGAGGGGTCTCAGTAGATAAATACAGGAAAGTTGATCTGAACTCAGTCCAAAAAAAGAGCTATCTAATAGAGTAATAACATGGAGTGGCTGTTTTAGACAGTAGTGTGCTTCCTGTCTCTGGAAGTTATAAGTAATGCTGGACAACAAACCAAATGATCGTTAGTGTTGCAGAAAGGATGCAGGAATAATGACCTTTAGGGTTTTGCCACAATTTGACAATATATGCTTTTGTGATGCCATTCCCAAAAAGGAGTTTGAAATTTGTGTTAGCAAGAAAGCATTGCTAAAATAGTGGCAGCTACTACCTATGGCGTGCCAGACATAGGCACTGTACTTGTTATTTCTGACCCTACAACAACCTGATGAGGAGTTTAAATGTTATATTACCAATTGTACAGTAAAATAGCTTGGAGAAGAAATTTGTTCAATATCATATAGACCCAAGCATTCTGATTCTAGAGCTCATACTCTTTCTGCTCCATGCTACTAAACATGGTTTCTGCTAAGTTACCTATGTGTTTCAGT